TTTCATAAGAGTTGTAACACTTGTATCCTGCCCTGCAAGGAGGTTTGGCTCTTTGAGCTGTAAATAAAACCTCACTGTTCATTCTATGGTCAGTCAATTCATTCATCAAATCATTGAGACCAAGAGCCTGGAAATCCAGTGTTAAAAATCTAGTATCAAAGGGATTGAAATATGAGTACAATTTGAGAAAGAGAGGAGGGTTTCCATGCAGAGGAAACTAAGGCCTGCTACCAATGGTAGTAGGAACCACCTCTGGAAAAGGTTCATTCAGAATGCAGCGTTAATGGCCAGGTGAGGTGGCTAAGCCTGTAACCCCAGCACTCAGAGGCAGCAGGATCTCTTGAGTCCAGGAGTTTGAGACCAACCTGAACAAGAGCAAGACCCCATTAGCTGAGCATAATGGAGCACCTGTAGTCCCAGATACTCAGGAAGCTGAGGCAGGAGGATCTCTTGAACCCAGGAGGTTGATGTTTCTGTGAGCTAAGTGAGGGCCAAGGCACTCCACCCAGGGCAACAGAATGAGAGACTGTCTCAAAAAAAAAAAAAAAGTCTTAATAATTTCCTTATTGCACTTGGAGGCTTTCCTGATAAAAATGTGCCATTACCTTTTCCAGTGCTAGATGGCGCTAGAATGCCACATGTATGTTTCTTATTCCTAAGAACCAGCGTGAGAGAACTGAAGAATTCATATGCTCATCCAGTTCTATAGAGATCTTAGGAGGCCTCAACAACGTTTTACTTCATTCCCTGTTGTTGAAACAGGCAGTCTCCTGGTTACAAAAGAGAGAGGTTCTGCAGGTTTGTTCTTTCTTAAATTTCAGATTGGGGTTACATAGGATTCGGTTATATGGCTTGTGTTTGAAGTATGAGATGTTGTAGATTTGTTAGATTGAATTTGTATGTAAGTTGGAACAGGTGTATTTACCTATCACCTGTCGTCTTTTCTCATAGGTGCAAGTCGAACATCAGTAGAGTGTTTTTAACTCGGGGGCTGCCTGTACAGCCTGCTATTAACAAAGTGCTGTGTGATCCGGCCCCTTACCCAGCCCTTCCTGTTTCACACACTAGAAATCGCTCACTGTTTCTAACTCCATGCCTCCCTGCTTCTGCCCATGTTATTCCTTCTCCCTGCGGTACACCGTCCTGCGCCTCCACTTGGCAAAAACCATTTTTATCCTTCTACACCTCACCCACCAACCCAGCTGCCAGCCAGGAAGGCGTCTTTTTCTCATTCTGCCAAAACTGGTTCTTGGCAGAGGAATAGGACACTGTAATTGGTTAGATCAGGTTTCTCAGCACTGTGGACATTTTGGGCTAGATTCCCTCTTAAGGGTAGAGGGAGACCTGTCTCGTGCACTGTAGAGTATCTAGCCTCATCCCTGGCCTCCATCCACGAGGTGCCTGTAGCATCCCACCTGGTCATGATAATGTTAAATGTCATTTAAAATTCACCAGACATTGCCAGATGTCCCTGGTAAATGAAATAGCCATGGTTGAACACCACTGGGTTAAACTGACCAGAACCCACTCTCCACCCTCAGACTGGGAGGAGGTCTGCTCCCACTGAACCACGGGCCCACATGGAAGGCCTTTATCGGAACAAAATCAGGGTTCTGCCAACATGGAAACAGGCAAATGATGCTGGGCAGGCAGCCAGCGGTGTGCCTGGCAGCCAAAAGCAGAAACCAACTCTATTTTTGGCCCAGTACTTTTTTTTTTCCGATCCCATGTTGCTTCACTTCTTTCCACAGAAATCTCAAGAAAGCCTTCCTGGTGCCAAATGCTGTGACAAAACAAAAGAGAAATAAGACAAGCCAACATGGGCAGTCCAATCTGGGAGAGGTGTAGAGCACTACTGGAGAGCCCTGTGCATCTTGCTGGCAAGGGCCATTGAGGGGAGGGGAGTGACCAGAGAAGCTTCCTAGAGGAAGTGGCCTACACACCAGCCCTTGGCTAAGGAAGTTTATAATGGGAAGGGAGGGCACAAGAAACAGGCTAAGAGGGAAGACTAGTGTGCCTAAGGCTTGTTAAATAGGGATATGATGATCAGGAGTAGGAAGGATTCAAAGTTACTGAGCAGTCATGTTCAAAGGCCAACTGTTAACCATTTCCATTTGGAAGATCACTGTCCTGCTTTTTTTTTTTTTTAACTGAACAAACTTATGCACACTTGTAAGAGTTAAATGTTTCTTAGATTCTCAGTAATAAGAGATACATGGTTTGGGTGTGGTAATGTCCTGCTTTAGGAAAATAATTGGCCCAGTGTGTGTTTGTTCATTCAGAAGGCTACAGGGCAGGATTTGGATCTATGGGAACAGAGAGAAAACCCAAGATTACCCAATTGGTAGCTCTTCCCAAAAAAATTGTGCCCTGTTGCAAAAGGAGTTGGCAGTGTTGGTTATTTTAACAGGTCTCCTAAGGTCCTTAGATGTTTTCTGGTTTATTAGCAAAGTACCAGGAGGTCTAACGCCCTGATTCTTCCCCCATCTACTACTGGGTTTATTGAGGATAGAAATCTTGCCCTCTAGCTTGTCACCTCTTTGGCAAGGTAAGTATGTGAGATAAAGACTGGTGCAGGTGGGAGCTTCAGTTTCAAGTTCAGCACCAGCCACTGTTACAGAACCAAATGAAAACTCAGGGAGCCGCAGGCAGCAAGTTTGGAGGGCAGCAGCATGCTTCTACCTGTTGTCAGGGAGTCCCTTGGGTCTTCCTGTGTCCTTAACAGGGATAGAAGAGGAAGCCAGGCAACTGAGCAAAAGCAAGATCCTTCTCCTGCCCCAGCAGAGAAAATTTAGCCCACCTCCTTTTCCTCCCCTCTACCCCAGAGGGCAGGGCAGGTGAAGACAAACCGATGCCCCTTCTCTGATACTCGTGAGCCAAGGCAGCCAGCAGGAAGCCACAAGCGTTGCCATCTTCAAAGGTCTGCCCTGTCCTTTCACAGTGGTTCACTCCCCTCTAGCCACCACAGAATCCCAGAGCCTGAGCCGGTGCCTCTGTGCAGTGCTCCTCTCCACCAAGCAGGCCACATCTCCAACCTACCACACCTCACTAACCGTGGCATCTAGTCACTCATTCATTCTGCAGATATCCCTGTGTGTGCCGGGCACTGTCATAAACAACACATGAGGCAAAGAAGTCACAGTGCCAGGTAGAAAAGCCAGAGCAGCATTCCCAAAAGGGCACAGGTCAGTTGGGGACAGGTAAGATAGCTGGTCTGTTCTACAGTGATTTCTTTGTGGAACCATAGACAGATATTGCATCAATGGTAAACAAACACAGGAAAGGAATCCTGGAAGTGAGTAAAAGAGTGAGCCTTGCCCAGAAGACCTGGGGCAGCACTGTTTAATTGTTTCTGCAGTAGCCAAGGGAACATTGGTGAGCACCCACAGAGTAGCTACAGAGAAGCATCAAAGTGACCCAACAGTTTTTCACAGCATCTTTGTTTCTCTTCCCATATCTGTAGTTTGAGGGGGAAAGCTTATCCTCAAAACTCTGTTAGGAATGCATCATGAAGGACAGTCTGAAGTCTCTTTATTTTTTTCATACCCACTGTACATTGTGAAGGAGGAAAGTTGTATTAATTTGTGCCCCTATAACAAACTATCAAAGACAGGTGGCTTATACCTTAGAAATTTATTTTTCATGGTTCTGGAGGTTGGGAAGTCCAAAATCAAGATGCCGGCAGACCCAGTGTCTGTTGAGGGCTCACTTGCTAGTATGTAGATGGCTGTCTTCTCCCAGTGTCCATATGTGGTTGAAAGCAGAAAGGAAACAAGCTCTCTGCTGTTTGTTGTTGTTTTTTTTAATAAGGGCACTAATTCCACTCATGAGGGCTCCACACTCATGACCTAATCACTTCCCAAATCCCCCACCTCCTCATACCATATGTTCAGTGTGACAAGTGATTTGTGACACAAACATTCAGACCATAGCAGAAGTTGTTTCTACCTATGTATGATGCCATGAATACAAACCACCTGGTATTTATAGACCCTGAAATGGCATACTTATTTGTTTTAACCCTGTTATATAGCCTAATTCCCAGCAATGAAGAGAAAAGTTGTATAACTCAAATTAGAGGATATTAAAACTGAAAATTGTCACATTTCCCCCAAAGAAAACCAGATCACCATCTCCAGGAAGGCTTTCTCTTGGCCTGGCTTTAGCATTTTTCTTTACTAAAAACACCAGTTCATAGAACTACTTAAAGTTCAACAATAAGTTACCTTAAAAAGTAAATGACTATCCTTATCCATCAATAGCTATCCCAGAAAGGGGCTAGCATTTGCCTGTACACAGGGGCTGAGGGTGTGGGCTCTGCAATCAAGCAGGCTCTGTCCACATCCTGACCCTGCCAGTTTTCCCATCCCAATTACAAAGTGGGGAGAACAGAACACTGTCTACCTCAGAAGGCGACATGAGGCTATGATGGAGTCTTGAGACCTAGAACCCGCCACAGGCCTCTCTTGTGCACAGTACTCAATGAATGAGCGACTGCACTGTCCCCAGGTGACTGCTGTGAGGGCAGGTGGTACAGCTCATTGACTCCCAGCCCCTGAGTCAGCCTCACCACATTCCACCACTAACCTGCCATTCTTCAGTTGGGCAGAGAAAATGAGCAAAAACTTGGGAAACCTTTTCTTTTCTTTTTTTTGAGACAGAGTCTCACTCTGTCTCCCTGGGTAAGGTGCCATGATGTCACAGCTCACAGTAACATCAAACTCCTGGGTTCAAGTGATTCTCCTGCATCAGGCTCCCAAATAGCTGGGACTACAGGTGCCCACCATAATGCCAGGCTAGTTTTTTTTTTTTAAAGTAGAGACGGAGTCTCACTCTTGCTCAGGCTAGTCTTGAACTCCTGAGCTCAAGGAATACACCTGCCTCAGCCTCCCAGAGTGCTGGAATTACAGGCATGAGCCACCATGCCCAGCCAGGATACCTTTTCTTTACCATAAACTACCTGCTTTTAGTGAACATGTGCCTGGTGTGATTCACTTGGAGACAAATGTGTGCCATCAACTCATGAATGTTAGCCATCATTTTTAAAAATTATAATATTTGGCCGGGTGTGGTGGCCCACACCTATGGGAGGCCGAAACAGGTGGATTGCTTGAGCTCAGGAGAGTTCAAGATCAGCCTGAACAAGAGCAAGACACCATCTCTACCAAAAATTGAAAAAATTAGTCAAGTGTTGTGGCGGGTGCCTGTAGACTCAGCTACTCGGGAAAATATGGCAAGAGGATTGCTTGAGTCCAGGCATCCAAGCTTGCTGTGAGATGTGATGATGCCACAGCACTCTATCCAGCGTGACAGAGTGAGACTCTGTCTCAAAAATAAATAAAAATAAAAATTGTAATATTTAATGGTAATGTATTTCCTTTTGGGAATTAATCATGCTAAAAAGCTGAATTTTCCCTTGAAGCATGACTTTTGTTTTAGTCACTTTAAAAGGAAGTTATTCCTTGAAGGTGCTACATCCTTCTTCTTGAATCTGAATGTAGTTTGCCTTCATGACTTACAGTCATCACTAATGTAACCTTTCACACTGGCCTGGACAGGCCCTGAGTATTCAGACCAGCCATCCCTGAGCCCTGGTCCGTGTGCCCCTCACTCTCAGCTATGTCTTAGCCCCACTGTTACTGTAGCTACCTGCTCTTCTCTGCTTCCCAGTGGCCCTAATGGAATTGTGGTCAATTCCCACAGAAAACCCAAAAGCAACAGTGAAGTCCAGGGGCAGGCAAGCCCAGGCAGGTGTGTGGGCCCCAGCACCTGCCCCCTGGGATCCACTTCTGCACATCTCTGTTCTCAAACAGGCCCTCTCTACAGTGGCCACCGCAAAATGTCCAGCAGATGAAATACCATAGTCCTTTCTCAAAGGTGTCTTCATGTTTCTCAGTGGCCCTGCCAGTGTTGTATGGCCAGGCCGGACCCTGTTACTTAGGTTGGGAACTAATGCCGAGAAAGACCATAACAAAACCACCTTTGCAGCCGGAGGTGGGGTCACTGACAAGTTGGGGAAAGGATGGTTCCCAAGAAAAGTGAGGGTACCTTTCCCAGAAGAGGGGAAATGGGACACCTGACAGGGTAAATTCACGTACATAACTCTGCCATGATGCCCTGACCCTGGGGACGGTGTGGCTACAGACTGGTGACAGAGCAAACCCCACTGTGAAACCCCTCTGATCCAGAGATGCAAAAATGTGTCTTTTCCCCGTGAGTCTCCCTTTGTGCATTCAGAATCTATTTCAGATGGGCACCTGGCCCCAGTCTCTCTCCCCCTCTCTTCCTGTGCTCATCCACATCAGTGGCCCCTGGGAACAGCTGTGCCTGACCCCTGCTTTGGAGGCTGCAGGGGTGGGATGGCTCAGACTTCGTGGGAATGGATTCCACCACTCATGGCACCAACTCAGAGTGTTCTCCTGTGAGAGACCAGCCCACCACTGAGGAATGGTGGATCAGGGTCCAGTGTGGTCCTCTGTGCACTGCCTGAGCCACCCTGGCCACCTAGAATGGTGTGCACTCTATCTGCTCCAGGCCTCTGTGCCATGTATAGCTATTGAGCATTTGAAATGTGGCCACTGCAATCCAGGGACTAAATTTTTATCTGATTAATTTAATTTGTAGCTAAATGGCCACAGGTGGCTAGTGAGTTGGACGGTACAGAGATCTAGAGACAGGTAAACACACCAAATTACAGTCAGAGAGCCTCTAGTGCAGACCCTCCCTATGAACAGGCGGAGTTTGTTCATGAATAGGACTCTTCCAGTTTCATCCTCAGGGTTGCATTCAGCAAAAGAGTAGCATTATCTGATCCAAAAAAATCACCACAGACAGAAAAAATGAACAAAATACAGTTTTATTAGGCCTCCTCTACAGACCATCATGGGATCCTGGACACCATCCTGAGTGTCTCAGTGGAAAACTAAGCCACTCAGCGCTGTTACTGCAGCCAGCTAGCCAGTAACCATAGCCCGCTTGCTGCTTAGTACATGTGCGTGCTATAGCCTACACTGTGTCCAGGCACCAGAGGGGTGCTCACCTGGCCACCCAGGGGCCAGCATAGCCCTGTCCCAGAGTGGGCTCTGACCCAGACAGCCCTCAAACACCAATAGCCTCAAGGCCCTGTGGGGTGACCTGCAGGGCAAAGAGGAGGGCACCTCTCCCTGCCTCAGGGACCCAGCTCCCAGGGCTGCGTCTCCTATGGCTGCCACCAACCCATGTGCTGAGAAGTAAGCACTTAGCAGCCTCGTGATTCACATCATCCTGCTCATGTTCAGAGGATTTAAGGCACATTTAAAAATCAGGAGTTGGGGTTCAGGGCTCCAAGTTTCACCAGTGGACCTCAATGTTTCTTACTACCCAACTGCAGGAAGCACAGCAGAGCCCACAGCACCCAGTTCTAGCCAAGTTAGCATTGTAACAAGTCCCCTAAGTTTTCACTGGCTTCTCTGAACAGCCGTACCTATTTGCAGTGCATTAACTGCCTACCAAGGAGCATCCAGGAGAGAAAAAAATCTTTCCAGATCACAGCTTAAAATAAAACAGAACACGGTGGAGTAGTTTCAGAATTAAAAGGTGAGTACACCCCACCCATTAGTCAGCATCAGCCCCACCACACACAAGCCGGGCTTGGGAGAAACAGACAGCAGGAGAGGAAGCCACAGGCCTGGAGGTTCCCAAGACAGCTGTTTAGACAGATGCAAACATCTCCAGTTCACATTTCCAAATACTCTACCGTAATTCAAAGTATGTTTCCCCACAGTAGAAGCAAAAAAGGAGATTTTCATCCTCTGTTACAAAGGGCATGTACGAGTAAGTCCATGCATTACACTGAGTTCTTCACATTCAGCTTCTAAAATATAAAAGTATAAAAATAAAATCTCTGCCTTTGCATCTAGAAACATCTGGAAAAAATATGATTGCTTCTAGTTCTAAGTTATCTGAGCAGGCTTCCTATCTTCCTGTGCTGTCTCAAGAGAGTTCGAAGAGGGAGATGACGGCTTTTCATTCCAGGAACCAAACTCAGGACAAGTGGAACAAACCCTAACCCTCCCTGACGGTGCCTCTTCACGGCTGTGCTTCTGGGTCCCCGCGAAGGGAGAATGGGCTCTTGGCTCAATTTCACATTCAGGTGCTGTGGATTATGTGCTGGGTGAGGGCTGCTGCAGGGACACAAATGAATGCGACCCCAAGGCCCCTCTGGGACAGGCCGAGGCAGAGCTCTGGTCTCTGCGAGCCGGATGGAGCCTGTTACTTGGCATCAGCCTGTTTGTCCCTGCACTTCTGGTAGGCGCTCAGAATCTCTCTGATTACGCTGGGGTCTTCCAGGGTGGTGGTGTCCCCCAGATTCTGAGCTTCACCGGAGACTATCTTCCTCAAGAGCCGCCGCATGACTTTCCCAGACCGTGTTTTTGGAAGACGTTTTACCACCTGGCAAGGAAGGAGCACAGAACTAGAGCAGGGCACCTCTCCCCACAGTGCCAGCGCTGACACTGGGATGCCTCCGCCCCAGGGAAGTGATGACACTGGGGACTCAGAGGCCGATGGTGAGGAGGGCCCACCCCAGAGAATGGTGGGGCGCACAGCCCTGGCTTTACCCTCATACAATCTGTACCTAAAGTTGAAACCAACCCAGATGGCAGGGCAAGCATGCATCAGGGTGCCACTGAGGCCTTCTGTCAGCAGGGTCTGGCCTGCCAGTGCACCCCACACCAACCCTGTCTGTCCCATCAGCCGCACCGTGTACAGGTGCCCAGGCAGCAACAGGTCCACGTACCTATCACAGCACCTCATCTCCAACCCCTGGCCTGAGGCACTTAAGAGAAAAGTTTGTCTTATTTGGTGTTTGAAAATTGAACATTTCCAAAACCACCATGGCCCATCTGGGGCAGATGGTGCTATGTTCATCAACAGCTGTGTTTGGGATCTTTGATGGTGACCATGTCACTTAGGAGGAGTTCGGGTCTCCTAAAACCCAGGTCTACAGCCCAGTGGTATGAACTCTTACAGCACCAAGTGGAGCCCCTCCTGCCTCAGGACCACCAAACCCAGGAATTGCTATGGGAATGCCAATCAAAGAAGGAAAAGGTGCCAAAGGAGCTGAAAAGGTGGCCCCCACCTCCCCCGGAAGTGATGCCCTCAGATGGGGCACCAGAAAATGTGCTCAGAAGCCACATGGGGCTGAAGAACTCTGAGACTTTCCACGGCTCTAGTTAAACCCCCAGTTTTCTTCACCAGAGGCCCTGCTCCTGCAACCTCCCTCATGCCAGAGCATGAGAGTGCCTGACCTTGCCCAGAACTGCCTCTGTACAGTGCAGTAGTGGCAGGTCTCAGTGCTACGTCTCCCACGTTCTCTGTCTTCTCTCTGACACACAGCAGCCCACTGTCCTCACCTGACACCCAGGAAAGAGCACAGAGCTCTGTCAGTTTTGGTGCTGATGGGAGAGTGACGCCTCTGCTGCCTGACACCTGTGGGAGGCAGCTCAGCCACCCGGAGGCCACTCACCAGGATCTGGTCGGGCACCGCGTACTTAGCAATCTTGGTGGCCACTGCCAACTTGAGCTCCTCCACCACCACGTCTGAGTCACTGGTGTCATCTTTCAGCACAATGAAAGCAAAGGCGGCTGGAGGAGGAGCAAAGGGTTGGAATGTGTCAGACCACAAACTGCCTCCTGCAGCAGAGGGGTGTGCACAAGTCACGTGAATCCAAGGGACTTCTGAATCGTGTTAGTGACACGGTAGCCACTGTTTCCTCAGTCGCGGCCCCCAAGATGTGCTTCTGTCCTATGTGAAATGTTAGTGATTCTAACAGCTCCCCCGACTTCCCAGGGGGTGGCTGGTTATGGTGCTGACTGGCCACGTGTGACACACAACAGGTGGCTTCCCCTATGCTTCCTCATCTGTGAAATATCTATACCATGGGCTGACAGAAGGCTTACATGAGACAGTGCACAGGCGAGTGAGTGGGCACCAGCCACCAGCTGTGTGTGTCCAGCACTACCACACCACAAGCCACTCAAAGTGAATTGCAGCTCTTTGGTTGCGCAAGCCAGATTCCAAGGGCTACTCAACACCATGGTTAGCAGAGACTGCCGTCACAGTGGAGCTCCGCTAGCAGTCTACTCAGCCTGTGTTCCAGAAAGGGCTTATGGCGGGTCCCACTGTGGGGGCATGGGTCTAATTTATTGCTCTCCACATGAGCAGGCACTTGACAGCACCATTTCTGATGGCCTGCCCTTCCCTGTGGGCCTGCAGCGAGCCCTCCCCCACGCACGGCTTCCACACATGTAAGCACTCATAGCATTCATCCGAGTCATGCCACCCCTCACCCACCCTTCCACAAGCACCATGTGGCTTCCCCAGTGGTCACGTGCTCCCCCTGCCCTGACCCTCAAGTACAATGGCACCATGGGGCAGGGCCTTTTGTCTATTTTTCTCATTGTTATGCCTCTGGCATCTAGAATCCTGTTTCACAAGCGTTTGTTAAACAAACAGGAAACGTTTGTTTCCTGAACAAGCCCCCATTTCCACCTGGAAAACTCCTATGTATCCCTCAAAACCCAGTCCAGCTGCTTTATACTCTGTGAAGCCTTTCCTGACAGTGCACGAATCTAGTCATAGCGTGTACTGTGTGAGCACAGTTCTCAGGGCCTCCACTGCCACCCCTCAGGCTGTGAGACTTTTGAGAGAAAGGATCACACTTTTCTCTGTTTGGAGGTTGAGAAGGGATCAGAAGTGGGGCGGGACTGCTGAGTTCTGAGAACAGAGGAGGGAGGAACCTCCATGTAGTAGGAGGATCCAGTTAAAAGCCAGGGAAGCACATGAGGCCCAGGATATTGGTGATGAGAAAGACGAGAGCCTGGGAGCAGCCAGAGGCTCCCTGGGCCCAGGTCCTAACCCACTAAGAGGCTCCCCTTACACAGATCCAGCGCAAAATAGGTGGGACAAACACAGGCAGCACTCTGAGAGAGCCATCAGTGAGTCACTCATGGACAGTGAGGGAGGGAGCTTCAGAGCTGCTGACAGCCAGGAAAATGCCTCTCATCAGACCCATGAGGGATGAACTATCTTTACTGGCCTGGAGTCAGAGGCCCGGCCACACCAAGTTTGTTGAGGATGCAATGGAACTGAGGAGAGCAGTGGATGAGGTGAGGCCTCTGCGAGCACTGGTATCTGCTGCCCTGAGGCCACACCTCTAACCCCAGCACCCCACCCCAAGACCCCTATCTCCAGCAATCTCACCTCCCAAATGGCCACCCCAGCACCTCCACCCCTAACACCACCACCACCAGCACCCTTACCCCAGCACCCTTACCCCAGTATCCCCCTCATGCATCCGCACACCTAGCACTCCCACCCCAGCATCCCCACCCCAGCACCCCTGCCCCCAGTACCCCTATCCCAGCACCCACATCTCCAGCACTCCCACCCCAACACCTCCATCCCAGCACCCCTACCCCCAGTACCCCTACCTCTTGGGAGCCCCCACAGATGACCCTGTGTACAGCATTGACAGACCATACCCCAACACATCCCAACATACCCTGCCCCCGTCCAAAGCTGCCACGTTCACATCCTGTTTAAAGCTCACTCACCAGTGTGCCTTCCTCAGGGCTCACCCAAGGACTGATGAGCGCCCAGACAGGGTGGAAGATGCCTGGCATTCAGGCCCCTCTCAGCAGCCCCAGGCCCTGAGCAGCACAGGCTTAGCCCCAGAGACAGACATAGGCAGGGCCTCCAAACCCCAGGATACCCCACCCTGTAGATGCCCAGATCAGACCTGTGAGATGCAGGGGTCCCCAGAGGAGGTAGCTTTTAGGGACACTAAGTCACCCCTAGTCACACATGAGGAACTGCTCCTGTGTCCACCCTCTTTGAGACTCCTAATCTCACAGACATTCCTGAGGGGCACTGGCCCCTAATGCCCCTCGCCCAGCCTCCTATTAGGAGGATGGCAATCCCACCACTGCACCCTCTCATGGCAAGTGAAAAGCTGTTAAATTCTAAACTTGGCAATGGGCCAATTTAAAGAAACTGAGTAAATAACAGAACAATGGCAAGATGTGGAAGGAAGGCAAGTGACATCTGGGACACAGGCCATTCCCAGCAGTAGGAGGGTAGGTCCAAATTCCAGGCCTCTGGAGGAAGAGGCCAGTCTGCCAGGCAGCACTCTGGCCTGGGGTCAGTGTGTGTCGAGGTCACGTCAGGCCAGCGTGGTGACTGTAGACCTGGCACTGCAATACTCTGGTGTTCCTGCCCTTCCCACACCCAGCACTGAGACACTTGTGTACTTTGGTAGGGAAGACCATTCCGGTCACTGCTCTATATTCCCTGCATGCTGGTGAGCAGTGGGGACCACAGGGCACCAGCACACAGGTGCAACAGCTGCACAGCTGGTTCAGGTGCTGTGACCCACCCCATGAGAAGGATGGACAGGTGTGTGGCTGAAAGTTTTGTTACAAACTTGCTGTAATGTGTCCCAGCCAGATGTCCCTTGGACAGAGGAGGACACTCCCAGGCTCAGTGGTGACAAATGGATGGTGAGTACTCGGATGAGCGTCCACAGAGGACGGCAGAGCTGGTGTCTCAGAAACCTGACCCGATCTCACCCAGAATCTCCACTTGAGAATGAAAAAAACCGACGGCTTGACCCATAAAAACCCTGCTCGCTCTGTGGAGCTGTTCCAGAGCCTGGCATCAGGAATCAGAGATATTCCCCTCAGGGATGCTCACCTTCTCCTTTGATGTCATGAGGGTAGCCAATGACAGCAGTTTCTGGCACTGCAGGGTGGTTAGCCTGTGTGTAACAGAAAACAAAAAGGTAAACCTGACAGGCCCCAGGATGCTGGGGGTAACTCAGGGCAGGGATGTCCACCCCAAGTCAGCCCCACAGAGGCATCACGGAGATGTGGGGCAAAGGGAGAAGGCCCGGCCCCCACTCACCATGGCATCCTCGATCTCTGCAGTCCCCAGCCGGTGGCCGCTGATGTTGATGACATCATCCATCCGCCCCGTGATCTGGTAATAGCCGCTCTCAGTTCGATAAGCCCCGTCTCCAGTGAAGTAGTAGCCTGCACCACAGCAGGGATTCAGCACTGGAACTCTGAGCTGTCATTCCATGAGGGACTCACAACCCTCCTCACTCAGCAACACTCAATGCCTAGCTCATGGGCCCTCCCTGCACCTCCTAACAGAGACGCCTCTCTACACAACGCCCTCTGCTACATTCTAGGGGACAGGCAGGCGACCTAAGAACAACCACACACAGAAGGCACGGAGACATGGAGAAGAAGGGACAAGCAGCACATCCAAGAGGCCCCAAAGTGAGTCCTGTCCACAGGGTTCGGACTAAAAACTTCCAGTCCCAGCAAGGCCAAGGAGCTGGTGTCCACGTCAACTTCCAGCCCAATGACACAAAGCAGGGCAGGAAAAACAAAAGTGAATTGGAAGGAACTCCCCGGCTTTGTAACAGCTGTCCAAGGTGGCTTCCTAACAGATGACAAGATGTCTGGCCCAGCTGGGTGTCACGCTGAACAGCTCTCACTCTTGCCCACCCTGCAGCAGAGCCCCAAGGTGGGATGTGTCCCACTTCTGATGAGGAGAGTCAGGGAGGGACAGTTGGGGGTGGGGAGCCAGATTTAGACTTGGGCCCACAAAGAATCTGTTCTTAGCCACCAAGCCACCCTGCACACACAGCTGCCAGAGCCAGAAATGTTTTCTGAGAATATGATTCCAACAGTTAGCACTCAGGCCTGAGAGGGCCCCTGTCAGCCCGCTCACCTGGGTATGCCTTGAAGTAGGCATCCACGAATCTCTGGTGATCACCATAGATGGTCCTGGCCATGCCTGGCCAGGCCTGGGAGATGCACAGGGCCCCAGAGACGTTGCTGCCCTCCACGATACGTCCCTGCAGACCCATGAGACATGAGAGAAGGGGCAGGTTCCGGGTGGCAATAGTCAGCAAGATTATCCCAGGTGCCTGACCTTGCCCTGCAGGCCTGACCAGTGGCTCTCCTCTTCAGGAGGAGCCTCCTGTGGCCTCCCGAGGAGAGACCCTGGGCTCACCCCACATGTGGACACTGCCCCAAGTGTCTGAAAGGAAGTACTCCAAGGAGCCCTCCAGAGGACACGAGCCCTTTATCCAGGCATCAGAGAGGCTGTATGTGTGTGAGCAGGAAGGTGGGCAGGGCGAGCAGGGAGGGAATGAGGTGAGCACACAGGGTCCCGCACAGGGAAAGCCCCTGCAAGACCCATAGCACACACCTTCTCATCCATGAGCACAGGCACGATGCCAAAGAAGGGTCTCATTGCCATGGCAGGAAGGATTTCTGCCCCCTCTGCTGAGGGCCGCGGGGCGATACAGATGCCACCAGTTTCTGTGGGGTGGAGGAGGACAGCACCAATCAGCCCAGGAGCTGGTGACACGCTCCTCCAGCCCTGCCATCAGAGGGCACTTGCGCCCACCTGGAGTGGGTTATGGGAGACTTTCCTTGTCTGAGGCACAAGGACCTTTGTCTGAGGCAAACCAGATGAGGGTCCTAGTCCCCTCCACTGCAGAGACAAGAGGGGCCCGTGGCAGGTTCAGCCCCAGCTCTGCTGTTCCGCAGCCAGGCATAGGTGACCCCTATAGCACCAGGCCCTGGCGTGAAGTGGGAAAAGCAAAGCCCGTCCACTCACACAGGAACACAGAGGACAAGGCTGCACCAGGGCCAGTGTCCACTCAACACGGACAACAAAGACATCCTGCTCTCACAGTGTTTCTTCAGCACCCGCCCCTGCCATCCTACAGCAGGGAGATGCTCCGTGGGGCTCAAGTGGGACTCTGTCCTGTGCCTCCCTGCACAGACAGTGCTGTGCCACCAGAATGTCTCATGCTCTGGCTTTTCTGAGGCAGACCTCAGATAGCTACACTTACTGTATTGGTGGTGGTCGCTTGCCCCAAACATCCTAATAAAGTCACATACCCAAGAGAAGAGATGACAAACAAAATGTTACCCAAAAAATGCCTTTCCCAATAAAATTTAAACATGCGCACATGATCCCTTAGCCAACAGGACCTGTCCTCATCTGAAAGGGTCCCCTAAGAAGAGGAGTGAAAACTGAGCTCCCAGGACACACAGGGCTCTAGCAACTCCTCAGCTATATCACCTCATCTCACCCCTGCCCAGAGCGTGGGAGAACATGCCACCTCACAGTGGAGAAGGCAAGGCCCACAGATATGGTAACACATCACCTGACAGCTGGAAATGGCAGCTGAGTGGCTGAGTGATCTCTCAGGGCAGACACCAGCTTTTCTGCAGCTTCACATCAACCCAAGCATGCCCACTTGCACCCGCTGCTGAGCTCAAACTCCAGGCCCAGCCTCACTCTCAACCCCCTCCCCTGCCATTCCCCAGGCGTGCCTTAACTCCTCCCAGGACAGGCTCACCTGTCTGCCACCAGGTATCCACCATCGTGCATCTGCCGTCGCCCACCACCCTATGCAGCCAGTCCCAGGCCTCATAGTTGATGGGCTCTCCCACTAGTGCAGGAGGAAAAAGATGTTAGACTGGGAGTGACCTGACACCTGAAGGGAAGGATCCTGAGGGAAGAACACCTCTAAAATTGTTCTGAGAGATATGCAAAATTACTTGAAAATGCAGCAAGACACGTCATATTTACGGTCATCAAAGAAACACAAATTACAACAAAGTACTTCCACCATTAGAGGGTCAAAAATCAAAACTTGGGCAGGAATGCAAGGGAACAGGATTTCATACACCCAGTAGGAGAGCAATTTGGATGTTCTCTTTGTTTTTTGAGATAGAATCTCACTCTGTCACCCAGGGTAGAGTGCCATGGTGTCATAGCTCACTGCAACCTCAAACTTCTGCACTCAAGGGATCCTCCTGCCTCAGTTCCTGGGCCCTGAGCACTGCGTGGCCTGGAGTACAGAGGCAAATCATGGTCCCCTGAGTTGCAGAGGACACTCAAAAGCACACAGCCTGACCAGCCACAGCACCAGCCTGCTGAGAGAAATGTCAGACTCCACTGGCTGCAGTCTGAATGTTTATCCTTCCAAATTTCAAGTGGCGATGTGCCACTGTGGCACTAGTCAGAGGCCATCAGGCCCCAGGAGGATGCACTAACTGCCTGGCGGCTTTTCACAGAGGAAGCACGCAGGGCATTGACCATTGCTGTCAAAGGCATCCTCAGGAAAGGGGGTGCAGTGAGCAGGTGACCAGCCACAAGGCGGTCCAGGCACAGGCTGAGAGACGCCACTGCTGGGCCATGCCCCACACAGCCACCACCTGTTCCCAAGTCAGGCCTGCACCCCCATGGGTGAGACCAGGGCCATTGTAAGAGGGTGAGTTTGGCCCCCTCTCACTCACTCTCGCCCTTCTGCCAGGGGACAATGCAGCAAGAAGGCCCTTGCCAGATGCCAGCGCCCTGATCCTGGGTGAAAGAAGGATTTTACTGTTAAGGGGAGAGGAAGGATCAGAGGAAAAGGCGTGTCTTCAGCCCCCTCGTGCAGGGCACTCCACTGGTCCTCACTTCCCCATCTGCACATTAATTAATGCTCCATGCAGACCCTCCATCTCATCCTCACCACACTGCTGGGGGGGCCTCAGCCCCTTCCTCACTGAACAGGTGCTAGCTGTGTGGGGCACTGCCCAGCAGTGGCATCTCTTAGCCTTCGTCTGGACAGCCTCATGGCTGGTCATCTGCTCACCGCACCCACTTAGTCCCGAGGATACATTTGGCAGGAACAGGCTTCCTCTGTGAAAGCCACAAGGCAAGTGGCGCATCCTCCCAGGGAAATGGAGGAGCCCCACCCTTCTTTTCCCTGATGACCAGGAATGACAAGTGCTAAGGCAGAAATGAAATACAGCAGGGAAGAAGGGAGAACAGCAGCCTGAGGTGCCCCGCCCTCCCAGCAGGGCCCCAAAACACTCCTGTGTGACTCAGCAATACCTATTAAAATTACATAACCTGTGAACTCTACCTGGAGATGTCTACAATAAGAGTAGTGCAGAAGTGCAGGATATTTATTACACAAACATCCAACAGTGGGGGACGTTTAGTAAGTTATAGTTATGCAACGACATCCCATACAGCCTATAGGAATTACGTGGCCCTGCATTTAGGCAGTCAGTAAGTATTCCTAATAAAGATTAAGCTACAGGCCGGGCCTGGTGGGTCACGCCTGTAGTCCTAGCACTCTGGGAGGCCAAAGTGGGAAGGATCACCTGAGCTCACAGGTTCAAGACCAGCTTGAGCCAAAGCGAGACCTTGTCTCTAAAAATAGCCAGGCGTTGTAGTAGGTGCCTGTAGTCCCAGTTACTTGGAAGGCTGAGATAAGAGAATCACTTGAGCCCAAGTATTTGAGGTTGCTGTGAGCTATGACACCACAGCATTATACTGAGGGTGACAGAGTGAAACTCTGTCTCAAAAAAAAAAAAAAAAAAAAAAGATTAAGCTACAGAACTTGGACACAGCAACTGCACAGAAAGTGTCTGGAATATTCCCCAGACTGCTTACAGCTGCCAGCTCTAGGAGAGGCTTAAAGGATCACGTCTCTACCAGGGCAGGTCTGACATGCGTGAACTCTCCACGTACACAGTCACACAGCTTCACAACTCAAGTGTGCTAAGGCCTGCATTGGCTCTGGTGGAGTACGGCAAGCACACCTGCTCCTGCCACAGAGGGGGCTGCTCACCTGACCCCAGGGTCCGCAGGGAGGAACGATCATACTTTTTCACCCAGGTGTCTCCGTACTTCAGCAATAGCCGGACAGCCGTCGGGGCGCCATAGAACTGGTTGATCTTTAACCTCTGCACTGTCTCCCAATACCGACCTACAAAAAGGCCCAAATTCATGTTCTGCAGGTAGCCCACCAAACAGGATCTATTTCAGGCTTATTTGGAAATAAGGTGAGAGCTCCCCAGTGCAGGGCACATCAGACACGGCAGGTACTCACAAGAAAGGGCTCTGCCCAGGCAGGGCAATGTGAGGTGGAAGGGAGCCCCTAGGACGTCCCCATGGCAGCTCCCCTACCCCACTGCCTGGACCCACAGGCCCCACCTGGCTGAGGAGGGCTGCATCCACACAGGGCAACTCCCACGATCCATCAAGAAAGTAGACTAGGGGATAATACTGAACTTTAAAAAATAATCCATGTGGCATTAACATAGAACTTTTACTCAGTCACACTTAACCCACCTCTGAAGTGCTGACAGTGCCAGTACTGCTGCATGTGTCCTGGGGAGCAGGACCATGTGCCCAGCACACCTAGCCCTGATCCCCACAAAGCTGCACAGCTCACACCGCTCCCTCCACACAGAGGGAGCTTCCTGTGGCTGAAGTGGTGCCTAAGATCACACCCAAGCTGCGGCCATTTGCCCCCACACCTTTGTCCTCCAGCACATGGAGCCACCAAATGATGGGCAGAGCAGGGGAGGAGACCAGGAAGCCTGTGTACCACTGTCAGCACTGCGCAGTGCTCCAGCAAGGGCTCTGGGCAGAGCAAGGGGAGGTAACACTATCATTTGATCATATTATAACAAGTATTTGGGGCCATTGTGCTGTGTGGGCAGAAGACGCCAGGGGAGTGAGACATGCCCAAGTCCTCAGAGTGACCTCAATTTAATGGATGTGAATCCAGGCCACACACAGTGTGGTCTGGGGGATGCCCCAAAGGCTCAGGCAGCAGGACTAGGGGAGTGGAGAAGTTGGGCAGCTGGCTCTGGCTTCGAGGAAGGGCTGGATTGGATCCAGTGGCCAAAGATGTGAGAGAAACACTGGTAAGGAAGTGACTTGGCTTGAGTTGGAGGGACAGGAACACTGGAGGAGGTGGCCTTGAGATGTGTACTGCACAGAGGCAGACTCCCAACTACTACCCAGCCTGTCCTCCTGGGAGCTATAGTGTCAACTCAGTAGACCTCAGCACCACACCCACACCAGGACCCAGACTGCCACCCCCTCTGTGAACCTCTCAGGCCACAAGCTCCCTCCCAGCACAGGGTCCCACACAGGGTGCCGGGGCTCACCAGCATCAGGATAAACAGGTGTACTCTCAAAAAGAACACTGGTCGCTCCGTTGCACAGGGGTCCGTACACCACATAGCTGTGTCCTGTGATCCAGCCAATGTCAGCCACACAGCCAAAGATGTCGCCTGGCTTGTGGTCAAACACAAACTGCAGGCACAGCAGGGAGCCATGAGGAGCCTGACCACACTCTCACCATGCTCCCACACCTCACCCCCAGACGTGTGCAGCCCCAGCAGAGGCCCGAGCACATGCTGAGGGGATTCAGCACGCACACGGCAGCCAAAGGCAGGGTGCCAGGCACAAGTCTGTGTACTGAGCCAGCCCACAGAGAAGCTCCAAGGCAGACAAAGCCGACCTATGCGAGTGGGCACAGGCTGGGGTGAGACTGCGAGGGACACAAAGAGCTTTCCAGGACAGGAGCTGTGCCAGGTTGTGACACAGGTGGGTGGACAGGGGCATAGCACAGGGAATTCCCTCCAGCTGGGTAGTTAAGATACAGGCATTTTTCTGCATTACCTTATGCTGCAAATTTAAGAAACCCTTACAAAGTGCAAAAACAAAAACAAAAAAGGGCAAGAATTGCATCAAAACATTCTCAGCTTCCAAGAGCATGAGAAAGGAGAACCTCGTCTTCTGCATTCTTGTCAAAGGACCCCATCTGAGCCCAATTCTATCTCAGAATCCAATAGCCCATTAGCAGAAAACGCAGAGGACGGAGGACAAACGACTTAAGCCAGAACACAAGACACCAGGGACAGACAGCAGACACCACCACAGCCAGGACAAGGAAATGAAAGGGACGGTGGGGACCTGTAAGTTAAAAAAGACTTAACAGACCCATCAAAAGTATTTAATGTATCTACCCAGGGGGACAGCTTGAGGCTCTGTCTCAAAAAAAAAAGTATTTAATGTGCAAGGGTAAGCTATAGTGTCCATGGACACACGTTTGGATGACGAAACTATAAAAGGAAAAACCAGATGGGACAGGATGTGGAGTGGGGTGCTGAAAAGCTGGCCACATTCCATGTCTTAGCCAAAGTGGCATTTGCCTTATAACAGTCCATTAACCACTCATTTGACATGGGCAGTTTTCTGCACCCTCCCCAACCTGTCCAGGGCCCTGCTGGCCATACCTTGTGTGTCAGGGCGGTGTACAGCAGGTAGCCGGCCTGGGTGTGCACGATGCCCTTGGGCATGCCGGTGCTGCCCGAGGTGTACAGCATGAAGAGCACATCCTCACTGCCCATACTCTCTGGGGCACACACAGGGGCCTCCTTGTCCATTTCCTGGAAACAAGAACACACAGCCCATTCCGGGCACTCAGCCGCTCTCCTTCAATCAGCCCCCTGGAAACACCCCATCCCAAACTGGCTGCTGTAAGACTCAGCCAGCCAGATTCAGAGCTCTCCTTCTTGGGTCTGCCCACACTCTACTCCGAACACAGAGAAGATTCCCAAGGATGGATACAGTCATTTCTGTTCCCACATGGTAGCTCAGGTCTTTCTTCCCAGCCAGGACTTAACCCTTTGACTGCAGAGTGTGCAGCAATGAAACTTGCCCACAGGCATTGTCTGTACCAACATCTTGTTTGAGCACCTGTAGGCACTGTTCACAGCCAGAAGGGTAAGCCTGTCCAGCACTGCAAGGGAACCCTGCTACTATCAGGGGACCCAGACCGAGAACCACAACCCAATAAGCCCCAGACCCAGCTCGCCCAATAATGACCTCTCTTTTGTAAAACGTACAAACAAGGCACAAGACCCACCTGCTCAAGAGGGATGTCCAGGTCGCCCATGTGGACCTTGTTGTCCGTCCTGTGAGCCACTAGGACATGCTGGACTGTGGGGCATTGCTTCACAGCCTCATCCACGATCCTCTTCAGCTCCACCACACGCCCTCCTCGGAGCCCCTGGTTGAAGGTGATGATCACCTTGCACTTAGCTGACAGAGACAACACATTCCTGATCAGTTTCTTCCCCTTCTGACCCTCTCAGGTCTGACCTACAGCTGCACATTCTAGGCCTGAGAGTGTGATAAAGAAAGTCTTGAGCAAAAGAGCCACAGTGAAAGTGAGAGTCTGCCTGCTTTGCAAACCTTAGGTGCCACCCTGGGCACCAGGCCTTCCCCCAGCTCTGAGGATAAGTTGAGGTAAGTTACTTGGCTCAACTCATCCCCCTCAAGCCAACAGCAAGAAGACAATATCCCCTCCAGACATGCCTCCACCTCCCAGGAGCCTCCCACAGGAAAGGGGTCATGTACCACCCACCACAACCACGGTGGCAGAGACCAAGGAGGCTGGACAGCCAGAGGCCATGCCCCAACCAATCTCGTGTAGACAGGGCCTTTCAGGGTGACTTGCAGGAGGGGCCAAGGGTAGTGAATTCTACCACACATTTAAAGAAAAATTAACATTAATCTTCCTCAAAATCCTTCAAAAAAAAACAAGTATTTCCAAATTGATTTCATGAAGCCAGCATTACCCTAATACTAAAGTCATACAAAGATACAAGAAAACTACAAACCAAAATCTCTTACAAACAATGATGCAAAAGTCCTCAGCAAAATGCTAGCAAATTATACCCAGCAGCATAATAAGAGGACTATACAGTTTGAAAAAGTGGGATTTACCCCAGGAAAACAACATGCAAAAGTCCTTCAACATAATACACCACATTAATAGAATGAAGAGGGAAAAAGTACATCTCAGTTGATACGGAAAAAGCATTTAACAAACTCCAACACCCTTTCATGATAAAAAGCACTTAATAAACCAGCAACAGAAGGAAAGTTAATCAGATAAAGGGCATCTATGAAAGCCCACAGCTAAACTCACACTCAATGATGAGAAAACATTGTATATCCACACTGGAATATATAGTATTATTCAGCTATGAAAAGAAACAAAGTACTGACTTGTGCTACAACACAGAGGAAATGGAAATGCCTGTTAATGGGTATAAGGCACCCACCTGGGGTGATGAAAAGTTCCAGAAATAGACAGTGATGCGGGTTGCACCATACTTAATTTCAATGGATTATGCACTTTAAAATGGTTATAAAGTAATTTTAAAAGGGGAGAGGAATAATATAAGTATTATTTCATATAATAGTTAAGAAAACTAAGGCAAATTAAAGAACATCTAACCTTTGCAAAGTGCTTAGACAGTTCCTGGCACTTAGTAGAAGTTACAGAGGTTAAGAGACGGGAAGAAAAAGAGAGGAGTGGCAGTGTCAACCCTTGAAAGTGGAGTGAGAAATCCAGAAAGGGAAGTGGAAAGGCTTTTTAGCCTTTCTTTCAGATGGTGCTCAGCAGGGGTGTGAGAACTCGGCCTATTAGCTCTGTTTACCACCCACAGGCAAGTCTCCTGTGAGACACCAGAACTCCCAATGGTCTTCAGAACCTGGCAGGCCAGCTCAGGGAGACTGTCCAGGAGAGAGCAGGAAGCAGACTGCACAGACGGGGGCCACTATGCAGCCACTGGGCCCTCTGGCAACAGCAAAAGCACAGAGGCAGCACTCCAGACGCTGTCCAGAAGACACTGACCCACCTGCAGACACTGACCCAACTCCAGGCCCCTGACCCAACTCTAGGCCGACTTCTTCATTCCTTACTACAAAACGCTTCCAGCCATTGACCTGTGAGACCTTCCAGTTCACCTCCAGCCTCATCACACCCTGCACTTCCCTCCAGCACTGCACCAGGCCTGGCTCCATCAGGCTGTGATCCTCCTCCCATTTGACCTGGACCTCTGTTGTCTCCTCCACCTGGCACTCTCCCCTCCCTTCTTCACCTAAATCCAATGCTCTGGGATCTTAGCAGCAGAACTAATGTCACTCAGCCATGTGTCTGTCTCTGGTAGCATGTGTCATTTGCCTGTGACTTTTAATTAGTGTCTACCTCCACTCTGAAGGTCTCCACCCTGATGGCCAAGCCCCCACCAACAAGGACCAGGGGACTCCAGCTTCCTCCCTGCCGCATGCCCTGCTCACCATCATTGATCCTGCCAGCCAAGGACTCAGCACTGAAGCCAGCAAAGACAACTGTGTGGACAGCTCCGATCCTAGCACAGGCCAGCATTGATGCCACAGCCAGTGGGGACACAGGCATGTAAATGGCCACACGGTCCCCTCTGCGGATACCATGCCTCTTCAATGTGTTGGCCAGGCGACACGTGGTCTCCAGCAGTTCCCTACAGCACAGGGAAGAGAAGACCATCAAGATTAGGGGGGAAGGGGAAGGGTGGAGTAGGTGGCAAAATGCAGCATAGTTTAGGGTGGAGCAATTCTGCAAAATGCACGTGCCATACACCCAGCCCAGAACAGAAAGGTAGGAGGCACTTGACCTCTTGCTACATGGAAAGCTCTTTTCCAGAAAGAAAAGTCTTTAACATTTGTAGATTGGTATCGACACAGATTCACTGCGCACTCCTGAGGTGACAGGGCTATATCGCACGCACTTAGAGCAGGGTTTCCCAGAGACCGCTAGTGTCCAAAGAACACATCACCATATTCCAGACACTTCTGGAAAGGCTCACCTCCGAAAAGTAAGATCTCAAAAGTAACACACTCAGCAGAAAGGGGAAGGGCCAGTCGTCTGAACCAACATAGGCAGAGGGCGCCAAGTAACGCTGCCTGAGCTGGGCCCAGGCCCTAGAACAGACTCCAACTCTGCAAAGCCACAATGAGTGGGGAGGGAAGGTGACAGGCTGCACAGCCACCTTCCTGCACTCGAGGGTTTCTCCCTAAATTGCATTGACAGGATGGAGAGCAGCTGCCCTGGGCAGCTGCCACAGGCCCCTCCACCCACACCCATGCCACATCCACACATGCGGACAGACCCTCGAACCAGTCAGGCTTATGGCAAGGTTCTTTCCACCAGAGTGCAGCATCTCTCTACTGGCTTGGCGTTGACACATGACCCAAATCCACCCAATCAGAGTTAGAGATACTCAACTCCAAGCCAGCAGTGAAAACCTGAAAGTGCGGCCCTGTCATCTGGTGGGGCAGGAAATAGAGAAAGCGGAAGCAATGACCACATTCTCTTCCGGGTTGTTCCTGCACCTCGTTCTGCTGCGTCTGGACTTAGCAATTGTCCTTCCCATTTTCCCATGTTTGGTCTTAATCATTTGCAATTTAAAAAACTAACACAGATGAGCATAATGAGAGAGGAAACCAAAGCCCCTTCTCTCTGGTTGAGGCTGGCCACAGCCCATGCTGCCCTGCCCTCCACCTGTCCCGGAAGTTCCAAGCGGGCCAACCCTGGCCCAGCTGGAGTCAGACCCTCCTTTGCAAGGCCCCTTATAACTCTGTTTGCATAGTACCCCTCCGTTCAAAGGGTAGTCAGGGAGAAGGCTCCCAAGAAGGAGGCTCAACTAGAGACCGCCCAGGAAACCACAGCAGAATGAAAATGAAGGGTCCCCAGCTCAGGCAAAGAGGCCTCAAGGAGGCCTTTGTTTCTTCCCAAAGCCATGCTGCAGAGACCATATGAGAACCAATCCCAAGTTCAGTCTGCAGGTCACCCACCCGACCGAGATCCCTGCCCAGGCTGGCTCCGGCGTGCCTCTTATGGGGGATTTCATCTTTTCTCAAAGCTTTCACAGGAGGGGACAAAGGCGCCTATTCAGTGGTGCCCCACATTCCCTCGTTGCTAAATTTTTTATTAAAGAACACCATGTGATAGCCCCTATAACACCAAATTCTACAGAATCCAGGGCCATAAGTGTCGCAAACATTAATGAGAAGCAGGACACACCTGGGACTTTGCTGAATATTCAATAGGTATTTCCTATTAAATGAAAACTCCTAGAAACTTTTGTTGGAAATCATTTTCTAAAACGACAGAAGTCAGCTAACTCATTTCAGTTAATTCCTAAGGTGTCTGAAATCCCACTCTACTGCCCAGGGGTAAGTGGGTTTTCACAATGGACAAAGCAAGTGAAAGGGAAAGCGTCCTGAGCACACCTCCTACGGGGGAGGAGGAGGCATGTGTAAAGGTGTGCAGGGCTTTGAGCACCCCAGCTTGCTAGTATGGTCACTGAGGGCAGCAGAGAAGGATGGCAAGGGAGAACTTTCTGGATAGATTGGCTGTGGGGAGGAGAATTAGGGCAAAGGGAATGAGTGGATTGTCCCTACAGGAGGAGAAGCTACCCAGCCATTGGCGCTGGACAGCTGAACTGCAGCCTTGAGGGAGGGTCTACAGATCAGGCTGAGGCTGACCACATGTTCCCTGGAGGACCGAGGGTCCTCAACAAGGGCCCAGGAGCTGGAGGAGGGTCAGGTGGGTTCTTGCTGCTAAGTCCAAAAGGGAGGCTTCAGCTAAAGAAGTTCATCTAGGTAAATCTCAGAGCCAGATCCACTTCCTATTTACTTTTCAAAGCCACAGACCAGGACATGGAAGGCTCCTCCAAGGTCAGGCAGTGCAGCCTCCCTGGGGTTCTGGAATCTGGCTGCCACATTCCAGCCCACAGCAGTCCAGCCACTGCTTAAACATAACACTGCCAGAGGTTACCTCCTGGGCTGCCTATTTGTCACTTCAATAGCGAAACAGTCTACTTAAAGTTGGACCAAGATTTGCAGCTCTTCAAATTCCACCCCTTAGTCCTAGCTCAGCCCTTTAAAGCTGCCCAGAATAAATCTAATTTGTCATTCAGTGGAAGCTGTTCAAATTCCTGAATTCTCTCCCCACCCCCACCCTGTCCTCTTGGAAGCCTTTCCCAGATTACTGTGTACCCCACATTCCCATGGTGTTGTAATAGAGGGAACAGCCTAAACAAAAAAACAGCAGAAATGTTTTCTGTGTTTTAAAAATCTTCTCACTTTTTTGAGAACTAAAACCTGCATCCCTGCCTCAGGCCAGTGGTCAGGAAGGGCAGGGGAAATGTCTTTTTTTTCTTTGTGCTACAGTAGTGATTTTCAACCACTGTGTGGTGAGATGATCTTAGGTGTATCATGAAAATTTTTAACAATCATCAATTAAATTATTTTTTGTTTTTATTTATTTATTTTTCTTTTCTTTCTTTCTTTCTTTTTTTTTTTTTTTTGATATAGAGTCTCAAGCTGTTGCTCTGGGTAGAGTGCCATGGTGTCATAGCTCACAGCAACCTCCAACTTTTGGGCTCAAGCAGTCCTCTTGCCTCAGTTTTTCTATTTATAGTAGAGACAAGTTCTCACTTTATGCTCAGGCTGGTCTCGAACCCATCAGCTCAAGCTATCCACCCCACTCAGCCTCCCAGACTGCTAGGATTACAGGTGTGAGCCACCACACCCGGCCAATTAAATTATTTTTGAAAGAAGTTCAAACACAGTAAATATATTCCTTTTCTACTCTTTTTTTTTTTAATCAACATAATTTAAGTGTGCCACAGAAACTACAAGTTCAAGTATGCTATGACATAAAAAAGGTTGAAAAACACAGTGCTAGAGGATGGAGGCCCAGGCCAGTGGAGGTCTGGGTGGGCCTCCCAGGTAGTCAGAGGTCGCACCTGTGTCTTCTGAGGCAGAGGTAATGGAGCTAACTACTGCTTCACTTCTCTGTCTTTTGGGGAGATGGCAAGATGGTGATGGAAAGATGTTAAGTGATTAGAATCCCCACCACAATGCCTGGCTATTTTTAGAGATGGGGTCTCACTCTTGCTCAGGCTGGTCTCAAACTCCTGGGCTCAAACATCCACCCGCCTCAGCCTATATTTGTCCCTTTAAACTCTCATGTTTCACTGGCAATCCTCTCAAGACTTGGAAAATGTGATCAAGAAACCTGGGTCTTGGGTGGCACCTGTGGCTCAAAGGAGTAGGGTGCCGGCCCCATATGCCAGAGGTGGCAGGTTCAAACCCAGCTCCGGCCAAAAACTGCACCAAAAAAAAAAAAACCTGGGTCTTGAAATCATTGAAAAATAAATGTGCGAGTGATTCTGTCATTCCAGATACCCAGGAACTGCTCAAAAGCATGTTTTTGAATGTTCATGACTTCTCAAAGATTTCCACAAAGCCAAATGCTGCTGTTTCTGTATGAAAAAGACACTGCACCTCCTCGCTGGGAGAGCTCTGGCCACAGCCTGCAGCTTACTGAGCTCTCCAGGGAGCTTTCCAACACAGGAACCTGCAGCTTTCTGACTCATTAAAATGATTTTAATGACTCATTAAAGTCCAAATAGAAATACAACATTTCTTGTCCAGGTCCTGAGCAGGGTATGTGTATACCATGTTGAGTCTTGAGGCCAAACTTTCAGTGTGGACATATGCAAGTGATGGGCACAAAACCACAAATTTGGCCTTGTATGTCTCAGTGCTTAATACCAGTAAACCAGTGTCTTAAGAGAAGGAAGAAGAGCTGCTACGTGGTATAGCCAACTCTTAACATCACCGGAGAATAACATTTACCCCATGCTAAAGACACAACCTAACTGCAAGTATTTGTAAGTAACACGACCCCTGCCGGAACTCAGCAGACATAAATGCACCCTTTGCCCTCTAGCCTCAGAATTTGACATTAGTCCAGAACAGGAAACAGCTGGAAAGAGTTCAGCGACAAGAGAGGAAGAAATGTATCACTATTTATTTATTCATCTACCAATCAAAGCTGCTTTTTCATGGTTAATATTTGAAAATATCGGTGGCTCCTGTGGCTTAGTGAGTAGGGCACAGCCCCATATACAGAGGGTGGCGGGTTTGAACCCGGCCCCAGCCAAACAGGAAAAAAAAAAAAAAAAAAGAAAGAAAATATCTTTCCTTCCTAGATGTTTCCTGACAAGAGCCCAAGGGTGTAAGATAAATTTTTTGTGTGTTTTGTTGTGTTTAGGAAATAAACAAGTCGGAAATGCATGATTTCCTCACATCCTACAATTACTCTGGCTCTGGGTGTTCATGAAGTACACACTGGTGATAGAATTACCCTCCCTGATGTCCATCTGTCCCGAGAGCACAGGGCAGGGATTTGGGTTTTGTTTATTGCCTTCTTCCCAGCATCTAAACTAAGCCCACCTCATAGAAGGTACTCAAATATTTGTTGAGCAAATGGACTCAGCAGGTAAGTGTGAAATGACAAGAAGCCAGCAGGCTCAAGGCAGCTAGAAGCCACTGCTCTCCCACCCTGTGACCCCCTGCACCTTTCTGCCCTTGGAGGGAGTGAGGCTGCTGCCACATCAGTTTCATACTGGCATGAAAATGTTCTGCTGAGAAGCAAATGGAAGGGCCA